AAATCAACAAATATGAAAGTCTCTTGGTATGGTGTAGTGCAAAAATGTCTGTAGTGCAACAATCAGTTCTGTACGATACTCAGTGTTGAGGTAATTCCTGAGAAATACCACTAAGGATGAATTCCACTTGTGACATCAGATAAGGCACGGATCACTCGATGAATCACAGGATTTCTTGTCTCTTTTAGGACTTTTCAGCTGGGAGGCTCGCCATCTCAGGATCACAGCTTTTTTCCGAATCTCAAAAAAAAACCTGACCAAATCCGGGGGATTTCAATACACAATTAATCAGTCACATCGGATTCTAGAGGGCTCGCAATTGGCTATCATCCACTCCAAAATCAATCATTTATCACACTTTTGATCCACTTTGATTTCACTCGCGATCTGTGAAGCTCGTGCTCTCTGCAATTATGCGTCTCGTTTCAGTGACGTCATACACAGCGCCCGTCTAATGACAAACGTCACGCTTTAATTATTCAAGTTAATTTAATTATTTTAATGTTCATGGCACAGCAGAATGACTTTGGCAACACATTATGTTACTTATTTAAGCATTTTGAGTGACAATATAATTATTACAAATTATATTTATTTTTCTGATCAGCTCAATTTTGACCTGGGTTACACCCTCCCCTCTTAAGTCTATGCAAGTCCCTTTGCATGGCTGTAACCTAAGTATTAGGGTTTGGAGTGTCTAATTGATCTGGGTTGTTCAGCAAGTGACTCGACAAAGGCAGTGTTCAAACCCTGAAGCAAGGATTGAATTATGGATATCATTGGGTTTCCCAACTCTGGGTAAGTCAATCTTTTTGACTTCTGCTTTACTCTTCTAGACTTTCTTAGATGACTTTCATCCTCACTTTCATCTTGATCTGTTGCTTCCTCAGATTCAGCTGACTCCAGTCTGCTTCTCTGCAATGGAACATCAGGTACAGTTTCCTCAATTTGCACAGCATGCGTGTCATCGTCTTTTCCCTTTTTGTTTCCACCAGGTACATCTAGTGTCTGCTGTTCTACTTGAGGTGAGTGGTTTCTTTCTTTCAAGTTTTCCCTTACAGGTTCTGCATGACCGGATGAAGATTCAGCTTCGGGTAAGTACTGTGTATCAGCTGAGGTTTCGGTACCAGGTAAGTACTCTGCTTCAGGCGGAATCATCGTCTCGGAATCATCATTTGGAACTGATGGTATGTCAGGTGAGATTTCGTTTGAAGGATTAGAGTTAAGAGGAGCCTCTACATGCTTCCTTATGACATTGTATTCCCGGATGAACCTTTCTGAGGTAATAGCTGGCACTTCAGAGATCTGGGGTACATAGTCATCCTCATCAGAACTTTGGTAGTTCTCAGAACATTCCTCAGCTTCCTCATCTCTGCTTTGTCTGGTTACCCGTTTTTTCAGAGGTTTTATCACATCAACCTCATCCTCAGCAAGTGAAGACAAAAATCCACAAGGTAGCAACAAATCTCTATGCAGTGTTCGTAAGGGACCTTCTTGTCTCTCAGGTCTCACTGTGTAGACAGGTAGTTCACCCGCACGTCCTACTACAACATGTACCACAGGATCCCACCTGTCGGCCAGTTTATGTTTCCCACGTAACCTCACGTTTCTGACCAGCACACGGTCACCTTCTTCCAGAGACGACTCAGTCACTCTGCGGTCGAAATGGACTTTGTTCCTTTCGGCAGTTTTGGCTGCATTCTTCTGAGCTAGCTTGTAGCTTTCCTGAAGATGAGTTTTCAATGACTGCACATACTGTGAATGAAACTTGGGACTTTCATGATTCACTGAGGTGTTATAAATTAAGTCTACGGGCAATCTTGGCTGTCGTCCGAACATAAGTTCGTACGGTGTGAATCCTGTAGTCTCGTGTTTTGTACAATTGTAAGCATGTACCAATGGTTTCACAAAGTCTTTCCAACGTGTCTTCTCCTGAGCTTTCAAAGTACCAAGCATTCCTAGTAGAGTGCGGTTGAAACGCTCAACCGGGTTCCCTCTAGGATGGTAAGGTGTAGTTCTGACCTTTTTGATGCCAGCGATTTCACAGAGTTCTTTTATTGTCCTGGACTCAAAATCAGGTCCTTGGTCGCTGTAGAGCTTTTCAGGCACACCATAATGAACTATAAAGTTCTCCCAGAGACTCTTGGCGACTGTTCTGGCTTTTTGGTTTGGGGTGGGAACTGCGACCGCATACTTGGTGAAGAAGTCTGTTATCACCAAGATATCTTTGGTGTTGCTACGGTCGGGTTCCAATGACAAAAAGTCCATGCACACTAACTCTAGTGGCCGGGTGACTTGTATGTTCACTAGAGGTGCTGCTCTTTCTGGCAAGGTCTTTCTACACACACAGCGACTGACATACAGGGAACAACTGAAGATCCTTCCATCTGCTCGTAATCTTCTGGAATCGCTTCCGGGCACATAGAGAGTGACTCAACTAGAGTGATACAACTGCTGTCACCAGCTTGACATAATGAATGCTTGTCACAGATTGCTTGTATTACGTCAGTGGAAACAAGGGTGGAATTGGCCGCTTCAGGTGAGTGATACAAGGTAAACTGGCGTATTCGATCTTGTTCTTCCTGAGATGGTAAATCATTCACCAGATCACCATGAGGCCGTCTTGAGAGTGCATCTGCGTCGAGATTCCTCTTCCCAGGACGATACTGGAGGCTAAAGGAGAAAGTAGACAAGGCAGACAACCACCTATAGCTAGTCGCATCCAACTTGGCTGAGGTTAAAACATAAGTGAGGGGGTTGCTGTCTGTGATCACCTTGAAACTACTCCCATACAGATAGTCGCAAAACTTTTCAGTAACCACCCATTTCAGGGCTAGGAATTCCAGCTTGTGGCAGGATACCTGGCCTCGCTCTTTGACAATCCTCGACTGGCATATGCAATTACTCGTAGCACGCCCTCTTGCTCTTGATAGAGCGCTGCACCTAGTCCGGTAGTGCTCGCATCTGTATGGAGCACATACGGCAACCCAGGGTCTGCAAATCCTAATACTGGTGCTTCAGTGAGTTTTTCGATGAGTGTTTCAAATACTTGCTGGCAGTCATTGGTCCATCGCCCTCCAAAAGGCACTTTGGGATCAAGGTAGGCTTTTTCCTTACTTTTCATCTTGCAACTTTTCTGAAGAGGAGGATATCCCATGGTTAGTTCATTCAATGGCTTCACTATTTTCGCATAGTCCTTAATAAATCGTCGGTAATAACCGGAGAAACCCAGAAAGGAACGCAACTCTTTCAGATTTCTTGGACTTGGCCAGGTCTTAATGGCTTCTATCTTTTGGGGATCCGTCTCCACACCGTTTTCTGAGACGATGTGACCGAGGTATTTCACTGACGTCTGAAAAAACTTGCATTTCTCCAATGAAAGCTTTAAACCATAATCTTTCAAGCGTCCCAAAACCTGAAGAAGGCGTCTCTCATGCTCTTCTAAAGTATCTGAGAAGACAATCAAATCGTCCAAGAACACTAGGACTTCTGAAAGGTTGATGTCACCCATGCACTTCTCCATCAGCCTTTGGAAGGTGCTGGGAGCGTTAGTGATGCCCTGAGGCATCCTATTAAACTCCCAAAAGCCCAATGGGCATACGAAGGCGGTCTTGGGTTTGTCTTTCTCTTCTACTTCGATCTGGTAATACCCAGATTTGAGATCGAGCACTGAGAACCATTTCGAACCTCGAAGTGCTGAAAAGGTTTCCTCCAAGTTGGGTAAGGCATATGCATCCTTGATAGTCTGAATATTCAACTTGCGGTAATCAATGTAAAGTCTTATATCGCCATTCTTCTTCCTTACTACGACGATAGGAGAAGAAAAAGATGATTCTGACTCACGAATGATTCCTGCTTCAAGCAATTCCTCTAGATGTCGTCGGACAGCTTCAAGATCGTTGGGATGGATTGGTCTTGCTTTCTGCTTGAAGGGGGTTTCGTTGTGTAGCTTGATATTGTGTTTCACTTTGTCTGTTTGACCAACATCCATGTCATGCAACGCAAAGACTTCGGGCATGGCACGCAGTTTCTGAGTGATTCTCTTCCTCCACTCCTCTGGCAGACAGGAATCACCGAAGTCGAAGCAGAGTTCTTTGTCAGATTTTGCATGGACACTGGACACTGAGCAAACAGATTGCACGACATTGTGTGACATTACTTTTTGCAAAGCATGAATATCTGCAATCACACTCTTGCCAGGGATGATAATGTCATGTTCTGTTTCGTTTTTTAACACCACTGGAACCTTGCGTGATGGATACTGAGGTAAGTTTAATAAGCAACTGGCAACTAGCAGTCCTCCAGGAAAGGGTGAACATGAAGGAGGCTCCATCACAGCCCATTTTTCTGTTACTTGTCCACTTACACTCACCACTCCTTCCAGAACGACATTTTGACCCGCAGGAACAACAGTAGGAGTAACATCAGGGAGCCTAACGAATCCTATGCGACTGTTTACTTTCTGCTGGCGTCTGTGTTCGATGGTCTGAATCACGGCTCTGTAGCCATATGGAACAGCTTGACACACTGAATCATTGGTTTCAAGGTACTCTTCATATGCAAGATCCAAAGTGTTTGTGCCTATTAACACCTTTGGCTGGGCAGTGCCACCAGTTTCTGGGATCACCAAAGCAAGAGTTGAAACTTCAACGTCGGACCCATGAAGTCTCTGGGAAATGCGATTTTCACCTCAATATAACCCAGGTAAGGTACTGCTTGACCATTTGCTGCTTCTATTTCCAGCAGGTTATCCAAAGAAGTTATGCTTAATCCAGGCAGATTTTGCTCATAAAAAGACTGGGAAATGGTGGTCACTTGAGACCCTGTGTCAAGTAAACAAGGACAAGGTTTTCCCTCGATGTTCACTTGAGCAGTGCACTTCGTGCCGATTAATCCTTTGGGTAGGCCAACTGGACGCCATTTTCCATGGGACTTCAAATTGCTCATGTTCACTGACTTCTTGAGACTAGTTTGACAAGTGACAGCCCTTGTACGTCTCGCTACAAGGACTGGGCGGTGTTTAAAGCTCCTGAGGCTCTTGAACAATATTGACTATCCCATAGGGCTTGGCGCTCTTTCAATATCTTCCTCTTATCGGTCACTAGGGACGGGTTTGGATCATTTTCACAGATTGAAGCAACATGCCCATCCTCACCACATTGAAAACAATAGCCTGGCCTGGGCCGGTGAGGTGGCTTGTGGTCAGCTGTAGGAGGGTTCTCTCTGGGAAATTGTATGCTTGTCTGCTTCATTTTGCCTTGATTGTTCTTTGGCTCTGGGTTCTTTTGGACTCTGAGCTTTGTCATCTGACTCTGGAGCTCTGTGACTTGTTGCTTTAGCTCAAGAACAGCGTCAGTCGAAGGCAACACACTTCTTCCAGTCTGTTTATTCTTTTGCTTGACAAGCTGACTCTGGAGCTTAGCGACTTGTCTTTTTAATTCATCAACCTGAGATCCTTCTGACATTTCGTTTTGACCTAGATCAAGAGGATTAGCAGTGACAATATGGGAACTGGCTCTTTGTCTCTGTGCGCCTAGGTGCTGTCTCATGCGGCTTTCTTTGGAAAAGTGTTTGTTCTCCTCACTGCGCAACTGTAAGAGTAGCTCAGGGAATGGGGGTGGTCTGTTCCTTTTATGCTCAAGCTGAAGGTTTGCTATTAGTGTGTCGTCCCAACAACCCCGACAGAATTGTTTCAGAAGTTGTCGGTCAGCTTCATCAGCAGGAATACCGCCTCTTTTCATCACTTTGAGAAGGTTAGTGTGCAACCGTTGCAAGTACAAGGAAGGCTTTTCACCTGCATTTTGCAGCGTATTCAGAGACTTTGCGAAAAGGTCATCACCATCCTCTACGGTATCGAAAGCGGAGTCCAAGATATCGAGGTAAGCAACAGGCAAGGCTTTTGGACCTAACTGCTTGACAATTTCAGATGCTGGCGGCAGTAGGCTGTCTAAGATCCTCCTAGATCGATGTATGTCAGACAAAGAAGGGTCTTGAAGAATTAACTCTACACTGTTCCGCCAGGTGTCATAATCAACTTCGCCAGTAGGACGAGGAACTTTGCCTGAGAACACTCGTAGCCTGAACGATACACTAGAGGATGAACCTCCCTCACTTTTCACAATGTGCTCAACGACCATTCTTTGGACTTCAGGTGGGTTCACATCCTTTGCCTCGAGTGTGGGTGAAAGGCTTCCTGTAACCACTCTGTGGACTGTATCAGAATTTCGGCTTCCTTCTGAATTTTCAGTTCGCTTGGGTGGAAAAGGAATGTCAGATGAAGAATCAGTCATTTGGGACGACTCAAGATGATCGTTTGCATAAGTCAGATTGTCAGCAACGGAGGCAGCACTTGAGTGAAGCTGCTCTTTCAAGAGATCGTCGAAAGATCTGCCACTGAGCTTTGCTATCCTCTTCAGTTCGGCAAAGTAATGGTTTGTTGCATTCTCAGTTACTGCTGACGTATAGACACTTGACAGTAGCCTTATGAGATAAGCAACATTGTGCGGGCTCCTAAAAGTGTAAGGCAACATGGGTTTAAGAGCCACTACTGCAGAACAACTGCTGTACTCTACTATGACTTCCCTATGGTAAGACGATTTGGGATTGTCTATGGAAAGGTGTCTATGGACATGACCATACTTGTTTAGAAAATCAGTCAGATCTTCATCAAGTTCTGTGTTTGTGAATCCACTAATTATCACTGAGTTTTCAATTATGATGTTTTCAAGCTCAACTACCTCCATATTGACACTATTTGCACTACTTCAAATTTTAAAGTTATTCTCCTGGTCTCTTGTGCCTTTAAAGGTTTATTTATTTATTTATTTTTTACACTACAATGCCCTCCTGGCTGGCTCGCCACTTACTGTAACAGGTAGCGCTATGTAGTGCACCGTAGCTACTCCGTTTCTGTGTGTATCATCTGTATATCAGGATACACGCTATGGACCAGAACTCTAAGTTCGTTACAGAGGGCAAAATGAGGTAAAACACATTAACACAAAAACCAGACAGACCAGGAAAATTACTTTTACCGAGATGGTTTCCTTTTACTTTGCAGGAAAATGTAAAATGAATGTAAAATAAAATGAAATAACAATAAACAATAAAATTGTATAAAACAATGGAATTGTCTCTTTCTCTTTCCCTTTAAGATATGTAGGTTTTGAGCTCCTTTGTGGTTACTTGATCTAATTAAATCTATTTGTATTATATTTATTTACTTTGGTATTTAAATCGTGTTCTTTTGTATATCAATTTGTTTTTTAATAGACTTAAATTCAATTTTAGTTTTATGTAATTTCTCGTGTTCTAATTTATTATAGTTTTTTGGAGCTTTGTTTCTTATTAATTTGGCTGAATTAGAACCTTTAACCCAGAATAGAAAATACAATTCACATAACAGATTACTTCAAGAAAAATAACAATTCAACTGAAAATAATACAAAACTTAACAGCAATTCACTGTAGATAAACAGTTCTCAGTCCATGGAACAATTGTGTATGCAAACACAATTAGTCCTTTGAATCCAACGATGAAATCAACAAATATGAAAGTCTCTTGGTATGGTGTAGTGCAAAAATGTCTGTAGTGCAACAATCAGTTCTGTACGATACTCAGTGTTGAGGTAATTGCTGAGAAATACCACTAAGGATGAATTCCACTTGTGACATCAGATAAGGCACGGATCACTCGATGAATCACAGGATTTCTTGTCTCTTTTAGGACTTTTCAGCTGGGAGGCTCGCCATCTCAGGATCACAGCTTTTTTCCGAATCTCAAAAAAAACCTGACCAAATCCGGGGGATTTCAATACACAATTAATCAGTCACATCGGATTCTACAGGGCTCGCAATCGGCTATCATCCACTCCAAAATCAATCATTTATCACACTTTTGATCCACTTTGATTTCACTCGCGATCTGTGAAGCTCGTTCTCTCTGCAATTATGCGTCTCGTTTCAGTGACGTCATACACAGCGCCCGTCTAATGACAAACGTCACGCTTTAATTATTCAAGTTAATTTAATTATTTTAATGTTCATGGCACAGCAGAATGACTTTGGCAACACATTATGTTACTTATTTAAGCATTTTGAGTGACAATATAATTATTACAAATTATATTTATTTTTCTGATCAGCTCAATTTTGACCTGGGTTACATAAGAGTTGTATGAAAAGTTGATATGATTTCTGTGACATTCGGATTTTAAATTCTTTCTTTCTTTCTTTCTTTCTTTCTTTCTTTCTTTCTTTCTTTCTTTCTTTCTTTCTTTCTTTCTTTCTTTCTTTCTTTCTTTCTTTATATAATGCTCCACGTTCTTTCTTTTATTTCCCATCTGAGAAAAGTTACAAGTCCATACAATAGGTCTTTTGTTGATTTGTTTCTCTGTTACTTTTTGGGACCAATCGAAAGAGTCAAAATGAGAGACTGGACCCATTAACTTCACCCAATAGTTTATAATAGTGTCTTGCCCTGTAGTGACTTTCATTCCCTTCCTTTCTATTTTCTTCCAATTTATTTATTCTCACAATCTACCAACTATCCACTGTTCTCCTCTGCCTCTGTTTTCTCTCCCTTTCTCCATATAGTTTGTATTATTTTATTTAGTTTTGAGGTGTTCATTCATCAGTGTCAGAACATGAGCTGTATACTCAACAGACTAACATTTATTGATTATTCTACCCCAAAACAAACCAAAGAACTGAGAGGACCCAAAACGTAAGCAAACAAAGATAAATAAAAAAATATAATTTTGACTTTTTGATGTGATAGGTCTTAAGCCGGGTACACACATTTATAAAACACACATTTATAATAGTCCTTTACAACTGTTACAACACGATCCCGCTGTAAGTGATGTCACACTGTGGGATCTCAGTTGTCATTAATGTCAGAATGTACGGCAGTTATGGATGCATGCAAGAAGACTCGTCCAGAGTTTTACATCATCAATCCGTTGCGATGTGAGCTGCTTTTACATGTGGGATAGAAATGGTGGCTAGCAAACAAAAACAATCTATAGCGTCAATTTTGATTTAAAAAACAATCTTTTGTGTTCTCTTGAAAAGAAAAGACTTTGGAAATATCAAAGACTTTGGCCTATGGTCCGAGAAATCTTTTAGGATTCACACAATTGGTCTCAGATGGCCAAATCGTGGCATAGATTTTAAAGTGTTGAACCTGGTTTTAGATGATGAGGGAATAGAGGGCAGAAACAGATATGCAGCACACTGACAGGTGAACATGTTTGTAACTGAGTGCTGAACCAGAAAGCTGAATAAGTTGCCATAATGTGGGCAGTGTTTAATGAGCTGGACAGACTGTGGTTTGTGTATGAGCTTAAATCATTGTGATTTGATAGGAAGACACCACCAGGAGGACATTTATTATTTTTGCTTCAAGACACGACCAATCATTAGTGTTGAGAACCCAGACCTGCCTCTCTCCCACACACATGCACAAACACTGAGAATAGGTGATTTCTCGGGACCTTTTACCCTTGATCTCTCATTATGAGCTGACCCTAATCAAGGAGTGAAATTCACTCGGTACAATAATATAGCACACACAAATACACACACACACACACACACACTGAGAGGAGGGATAATGAGAAGATTCCAATTCACCAGATTCTTGTTCTCTCTTTTCTTTCAGTAAGACGTGATTATAGTGAGTGATCCGTCATGCAGGAAATAAGTGTATCTACATAATTATATAGTGAAATAAATAAATATAGTGATATATCGTGAATTATATTGAGAGTGAGGAGTCATGTGCCGATTTGGGCGGGGTCTGAGCCGGTCGGCCATGATGGTAGGAGACGCTATCGGTTGCCAGGGGCAACGCCTTCAGAACTTCACAGAGGCGCGACTAAAACATTCCAGAAATAGCGAAAGAGAGACAGCGCAGCTTAGTATTTGTTTACATTTTACATTTTACCGATACGCCGCAGTTTCTTTGGAAGATATGGAGAAGGAAGAGAAATGAAAGGGGTTCTATCGGGAGAGACTAAATAACAATGCTAGCCAGCTTAGAGAAACTGCTTGTCAATAAACTGACAGCAGCAACAGCGAGCAAAGCCTGCTTTCAAAAGCAACATATTTCAGCACAGTTCGCCTTTTATTTAACACAAACGAGCGAAATTAATACTCTGTTATTCATCTAGAGTTGTTTCATTTGTTATAGATATATCTGTACCGCGAAATGTTTTAAAAAGACACTTTTTTTAATGACGTACGATTCGCATTGACAGGGGAATGTCCGAACTGTTCGCTTAACGTTGCACGGCAGGTGCAAATGCACGTATCTGATTCATATAAGATTTATTTACACATATGAATGAGGCCTGAAACATCAAGTATGACTGAACTCTCTCGTTACAGGTTTGGGGGTTTCTAAGTCTTGCACGCAGCCGCAACAGACTTGTTCAGCTTCTAATGACTTAAAGCTTCTGAACTCTTGCATTGTGTAGGCAGTAACGTTAGTCACTGATACCATAAACAAACCAGGTATTTAACTATGTCAGCGTATGTGAAAGGTGGTAGTGCTTTGGGTCTTTCGTCCATTCTGGTTCTCTAAATAACGCTGCTTGGTGTTGTTATTTAGTCTCTCCCGATAGAGCCCCTTTCCTTTTGCTTCCCCCTTCTTCATTTATTCCCAAGAAACTGTGCCTTATCGCAAAAATGCAAACAAATGTCAAGCTGCTCTCTATCTATGTCGCTATTTCTCTCGGTCTCACGGTCGAAGTAACCATGACAACGGATAGCGTATCCTACCAATATGGCGAATCCTTCCCACAATGCAACGCGGAGTGATACGCGTGACGTCACCTTCTCATTCTCAATAGTGATATAAAGAAATATGTAACGCTTCCTTTTACAGTCCTGTTACCCATGTACTTACTATGTACTTATTATAGTAATTATAATTACTGGGTAATAACTAGGTACTAACCCTGAACCTACCCCTAAACCTACCCCTAACCCATGTACTTACCTTATATTAGCCAGTACTTTCTAGGTAAGTACACTGTAAGTACATGTAAGTACTGTACTGTAAAAGGAAGCGTTACCAAAATAATACAGTGCCAAATATTACAATGTGAACGGACAAGTTTGCCATCTGAAAAGCTCTAGGTCAGCAAAATTAGTCCAGATTGTTTTAAACTTTTAAAACTGGTTTAAAATAGCTCTTGTTATTATTTAATGTGGTTCCTTGGATTTTAACCTTATGGTGAAATTTGGTAAAAGAATGAATTGCTTTAATATTAACAAACATTAC